TCTGAGGCATCTGTCTCAAGAGTGGCAGGTTTCAAGGGGTTAAAGTGTAGTAACATTTTCCCTTCTTTAAATTCTCCTTTAAGAGCATCGAAAGCATCTTGCTGTGTCTTATCCCAGTGATACAAAGTGTCCTTGTGAAGTAATTGAGTAAGGGGTAAAGCCAAGGATGTATATCTTGGTATAAACCTCCTGTAATAGTTGGCAAACCCAAGGAAAGACTGAACCTCTTTAATGCTGGAAGGAATAGGCCACGTTTGTACTGCTTTTGTCTTTTCAGGGTCCATCTGAATGCCTTCTGTTGAAATTCTATGTCCTAAGAAATCAACTTGAGACATATGGAAAAGACATTTCTCAAGTTTGCAAAAGAGTTGTGCTTGAGATAGCTTCTCTAAGACTTGTCTAACATGTAGAACATGCTCTTGAGTGTCTAAAGAGTATATAAGAATGTCGTCTAAGTAGACAACAACAAAGATATCCAAGTAAGGTCTTAGAATATCATTCATGAGAGCTTGGAAAGAAGCAGGTGCATTGGCAAGCCCAAAAGGCATTACCTGGTATTCAAAATGACCATAGCGTGTTCTGAATGCTGTCTTCCACTCATCACCTTCCTTGATGCGTATCAGGTTATAAGCTCCCCTGAGATCTAACTTGGTAAAGATCCTTGCTGAAGAGAGCCTATCTATGAGCTCAGGGATAAGGGGTAAAGCATATCTGTTTTTAACAGTGACTGCATTAAGGCCCCTATAATCAACACAGAGACGCAAGGAGCCATCTTTCTTCTTGACAAAGAGAATGGGAGCTCCTGCTGGTGAGGAAGAAGTTCTGATAAAGCCAGAACTAAGGTTCTCATCTAGGTATTCTCTGAGAGTTTTCAGCTCTAATTCAGATAGAGAGTAGATAGGGCCGTAGGGAGGCATTGAGCCTTCTGCGAGTGGTATCTCATGGTCATAAGGCTGGTGCTTTGGCAGAATTGATGCCTTTGCCTTGTCAAAAAGATGTTGGTAGTCTTGGTATGCTAAAGGCAAAATGACCTCCTGAGATGATTTCTCCAAATCTGAAGTAGCTGCTATCTCCAGGACAGGTTGGAAAGGTTTAACCCATATCAGAGATGATATATCGTCCATAGTTTGGTCAAAATCCTTGATCTGGGACAAGTTTGAGTCTTGGACCTGAATAGGGGTAACTGAGGCTTGAAGGGTTTTTCCAGTATTGAGCTCAGGATTTGAGCTAAACCCAAGCGATAAATGCTTCCAATTGATAGTTGGATCATGCCTTTGAAGCCATGGAAGACCTAGGATGACTGGGTACTTCATTGGTATAACATCTAAAGAGATGGTGTCTGAAAATGTTGATTTTCCTAGGGGAATCTCAAGTTTGAGTACTGGGGTGTTGCAGGTAATGGAACCTGAACTGATAGGAGTTCCATCAATGACTCGGAGCAACTCTGGAGTGCGTTTGGGAATTGTAGGTAACTGGTGTGTCAAGATGAGGTCTTGAGATATAAAGTTGCCTGTTGCCCCTGAGTCTATCATAGCCCTTGTAGACAACACCTGTTGTTTGAAATGGAGTTGAATAGGGATTAACAGGTGTGTGAGACTCTGAGAAAGCACCATCGACACATCTTTGTTGTCTAGGGGAGAAGTTATAGTCTCAGTTGAAGTTGTGCCTGCTAGGGATTTTTCAAGTTTTTCAGGAATAGCAGTTGTGACTGTGTCTGAGGCTGCTATATGTTTTGAATCAGCACTCCCCCGTGCTGAATAGCACTCCTGAATTCTGTGTCCCCCTTTGCCACAGTATAAACAAAGGTTGTTGTCCATTCTGTGTTTTCTTTCTTGAGGGGTAAGTTTACCCCTTTTCAGTTTTTGAGGGTATCCTGTAGGCTGAGGTGCTGGATTTGCTGTAGATCTCTTTATAGAGGCGTCTAAGTCCATAGGTTCAGGTGCTGAGTCCTTAGCAGTTGGTGTAGAGGTGTAATTGTTGAAATTTCTTGTTGGATGCCAGTCTTGGTTCTTCTCCTTTCTTCTTTCAAAAAGCCTATCATCAAGTCTGACAGCTTTCTCTATAAGCGTTTGAAGTGTTGTAGGGCGTTCTTCTTTGCTGAGTTCATCCTTAATAGAGCTCTTGAGCCCTTGGTAGTAAGTGAAGACTAAGGCTTCTTCATTCCAAGTCAAGTGAGAAGTGATTCTCCTAAATTCTGTTGTATACTGAGCAGCAGAGGTCTTTTGACATAGCTTCTGTAGCTCTCTTTCTGCTGTAGCAGTTTCGTTGATGTCTCCAAAGGTCCTGGTAAGTTCCTCTTGAAACTGGTCATAAGAGGTAATCAAAGGTGTAGTGGTATTTTGGTTGTTGCCACTAAGTCTTCTAAGATATGGCTCAAAGAAGTTGAATGCAGATCCACGGAGGTAGCTGGCAGCGAAATAGATCTTCTGAATGTCTGAGGTGAACTGATGAGGCCTGAGGGTGAAGTAGATGTCCAGTTGCATAAGGAATCCCTTCAACTTCCTCCTGTCTCCATGGTATAAATCTGGTGTTTGCACTTTAGGAAGTGCACCTGGGGTACTCGAAATAGCCAGAGGAGCTGTGGGAAGCTCTGTATGATGTGTCTGAGTTGAAGATTGTGTTGCTGAAGTGTTGGCTTGAAAGGTGTTTTCCAAATTCTCAAGTTTGTTTGCTATAGTTTGTATAAAGGCAAACAGTTGTTGCATCTGCTGTTCAGCAGTAGTTGTAGGAGCTTGGTCGTCCTCCATTGTAGTATCGAAGTGCTGCTATAGAAATAGTTGAAGCTTGAAGCAGGCAAGGTGTAATGGTGGGTGCACCAGATATGAGAATCTAGCCACCCAAGGAAGGGATGAATTTACTAAGACAACACACTGTCTTAGGAAACAGAGCCAAAGGGTTGTAGCTTAGACTATTCCACAACGCAGCAATCAGGTGTATGATGTGGTGAAGTGGTTTAGACAAGTTGCAACAAATGTTGAGTCTGAGAACTCAGGGGTAAGTCAGAGGTTAGCACCTCACTGACTTTTCAAAAACAGAGAATAACAAGATCAATGCTTGGAAGCTTGGAAAAGACGTGGAAGTATGTGCTAGTCGATTTACTGTATTGCCTGCTTGCCCTTTCTTAAGGAAAGGGCAATCCTATTTATGCCAAAGGAGTGTAGTTCTCTTATTTTCCATGACTTTCCATGACTAACCAGGCTTGGTAAATGTATTAGAAATCAAGTGCGACCCACAACTAGCTTGCTAATCATGTAGTGAACGTAAGAGAATCCCATAGAACCATCTCTTGGGTTCCTAGCCTATAGGAAGTGAAAAGGAGGTCCAAGGTCAGAGTACCTATAGACAAATTATGTCATAACTTAACCAATCTTGTGGGTAACTAAGGAGCGATGACGTGTAATGAATCATAGAGGGTTGTAGAAGCTTCTAGAGCTATCGTTCATGTTCCTAGGCCTCTAGTTGGTAGAGATATGCCATGTGGTAGTATTGGCCCACCCCCTTAAGGAGGAGATTTTCTTAATAACTTGTTCAATGAGTGTCCAAATGATATGCCGTGATGTATGTAGCATAAACAGATGTAGTAGAAGAGTTTGCAGCAATCGTTGAGTAGTATTGCTTCTGTTGTTGGTGTGATAAGCCAAGATATGTATGGTGACTTGTAGGTTTGAGGAGGAGATTTCTAAGTTTGCTCTTGAGTTTGATAGCAAACTGAGTGCAACGAATGTCAGTATGACACAATCCTACCCCCATAGGCCATGAATGGATCTATAGATTCTTAAAACGGCATCCAAACTTTAAAGGGGTCTACTCAAGACAACTAGAGTCTGCACGACATAAAGAAAGCCACTCCTATAAAGATTTCAGCTTGGTTTGACGCGTTTAAAGCACGAATTGAAGAGCGAAAGTACAAGCCATGCAACATCTATAATATGGATGAGACAGGTTTTGCAGTTGGAGAGACTCAATCCACGCGAATAATTGTTGATTCTACCTTGAAATCCAATTGGAAGGTCACAGCTGGGAAGCAGGAGTGGATAACTGTACTTGAATGCATTGATGCAGACGGTGGCACTTCTCAACAAGTAATAGTGGCTGGACTTCAAACAGTCATAGATTTGAGTGGTTGCGGAATGTATTTGAGCCTGAGTCATGCAAAAAGTCTGGAAATCACCTGCGAATGTTGATTATGGATGGCCATTCTAGTCACATTACTGGCGATATGATTGCACTGTGCATTGAGAATGACATCGACCTTCTTATTCTACCCGCCTCATTGCTCTCATCTACTCCAACCACTTGATATTGGGGTGTATGGACCTCTTAAGTGATTTCATGCTCAGGAAGTAGATCGGTATACTCGAGCAGGAATAAAGCGAATCCAGCGCTCCCACTGGGTTGAAATCTTCCGGTGTATTCTATAGAAGGGTCTTATACCTCAAAATATTAGAAGTGGGTGGAGGGCAGCAGGTTTAATACCCTTTCTCCCAGAAAGAGTTCTGGCTAACCTTCCACTTCCACCAACCGAACCACCTCGCACTCCTCAAAACTCAACCAATATCACTACTCTGGATCTCTCAATACTCCGAAGTTCTCCTCCAGATGGAACTGAACTAAGGCATGCAAATTTAGTATTTAATTCAAGTATGGCAACTTGTGACTCTCCTGCTTCACCAACTCGACGCTATGCCAAGAGAATGACTAGGCTGGTTGAAAGTCAGAATGCTGAACTCAGCATCCTTCGGAAGGAGGTGAAAGAGTACAAAGAGATACTTGAGACACGAAAGAAAAGAACTACGGGCAAGAGAATTAAGTTGCAAGGCGAATTTGTATTCAGTACCGAGGAAGTGTTGAAAATTGTCCGGGAGGCAGAGTTGAAGTCAACCGAGAAAAGACCACGTGGAAGGCCACGCAAACGGCCAATTGAAGAAGTAGACGAGGAAGTTGAAGAGGAAGAGGTAGAGAACGATTCAAGCGACCCAGAATTGGAATTGGAGGAGTGTGTGGCACGTAGGACTCGGTCAACTAGAGTAGAATAAACTTTTTGTCCGACTACCCCATATGTCCGACTACCCCATACGTTACGTTATCAATAAAACTACAAAAAATACATCTAAACTAGCTACAAGCACACCAAACAGTGTGACGGCCAACTCAAAATAGTTGCAGGGAGTGATGGTAATCGCGGTGAAAAATCGAGAACAAATCGAGAATAAATAGCAGTAAATATTTGTCATATCATGTCGTATCATATATCATTAGCAGATCGTAGGGGTTTGTTTCGTTTCGTGAATTGGCTGGGATAGAGACGATGGAGACTCAGGTCGCTGGCACCCTCTGTGAAATGAGCAGTTCGTAGTCCATTGTATCCAAAATATCGTTGAGAGATGCGTGTCAGATATCCACGGGCAGTATTTCAGGGGTTACCGAAAATCAATGTCGTCGTTATGCTCCCTGATAAGTTTATATATACTGGACGTCGTACCGCTCGCCCATTTCAAGACCGCAGAGCGGATATCCTCCGAGACCCTGGTGTGCTTATGGTGGCTGAGTAGGAGCCTGCATTGGTGTTCTCCAAACTCCCAGTTGTAGCAAACTGCTTCCATCAACTCCTTGGAAATGATAAATATGGGGTTGCGCTTGAGAAGCAGGGCTAGCACATCTCCACCCCACGGTTGGTGTGCCACTGCCACAAGCATCTTCTGCGTAATGGTAGGTGATGGATCTCGATTAAGATACCATACCATTGCGTCATACGGCAAAACAGGCGTATGGTTCGGCTTTCTGGGTTCTGAGAACCAGACCAGCCATTGCAGTGCACCTGATCCATGGGGGAGTCTCAGACGCAGCTCGAAGTACAATATCTGATACGCTCACAGAGGCTGAATGCAGCCTGAGGAGAACTTTAAATTTTGATGCCGCATGCTTGGATCCTGCTATAGTTGTAAGAATCGATTCCGAGAGTAATCCCCCGATGTCGAAAGTTAATATCAACTCCAAGGCCTTTTTCCGTAAACTCATTTTTAGCAGCTGCAGTCAACAGGGTCTGCGTAATGTTTTAGTTTCGGGAGGTGCTCCTTGATGGTCTTCACAACTGCTGAAGATTGTCCGCCCCGAAGGAGAGCAGCCATTGGAATTTCTGTGAGAGACAGCTGAGGATACTCGGCCAATAACCATTCTAGGGGCTTAATATCCCTCGATGCAATCTGGCATGTCCGCCTCAATGTTTCCTCTGTAATAGTAATTGATGGGTTCTTGGTTGTGATCAATTTCATACGGGTAACATTGTCCGTTTTGTAGGAATACACGCCTGCTGCATATTCCAGGGCTCGAGGTGTAATATGCACAACATCAGATCGGTCTAGCGCCCATCGAAGAGTTCTTACATCCTTAGACTTTGCTGATGCTATAAACAATCGTTCCGTCATTTCAACTCCTCTATTCCTCTTTTCTAAGAGTTCCAACTTTGGAGCACTAGCAGGCGTCCATGCTACCTCTTCGAAGAGTTCAGAAGGTATTTCTAAAGTGGAATCGTAGTCTAAGACCCACTTTATAGCACCAGACGTGTTCTTATTCGCAGCCGCAGCTTTTAATGAAGCGGATGTAATGCGCAGGCGTTGCTTTTGAATATGGCCTAGCATTTTGGAAATCCAGTCCTCATCACGACCCGTCCTCAGAACAGCTTCTGTCATGGCGTCGATAATATCTGGATCGGAAATATCCTCTCCTTGGCGTATGAGCAATTCCAAGGCCTCTACGGACCTGGCACAGGCAAAAACCAGGGGACATGTGAGCCGTTGCGGCTGATAAGATAGTAGCATGTCAAATGAAATGCTGTTACCGGGCTTGAGGAACTCAACCATGGAAACTTCGTCAATCCTGCAAGTTGGATCATGCTGCAATAGCCACTGAAGCACCTCGCTTCTTGATGTAGTATATGTCCCGAGACCTGATACAGCAACTAAGAGCATCCTAGAGGTCACCCTGAATGTTGGTTCGAATGACTTGATAATACTGAGAATTTGATAGCATCGTTGCCTCCCACCGCCGCTACCAATATCTTCTCCGAGATTTTTTCCTGGGGATTTTCATAGTGGCTTAGAAGCCATGGTATAAGATGAGATCCATTGTATGTAGCTTTAAGAGCGGACATGACGATACCGTCGTCGATTTTCAGAGTCCCTGGCGGTGCATGTTCGAGAAGCGCTTCCCATTGCTGCCGATCCTAGAGCAGTATTTTGAACCAGCCTATCCAGCATTTGTTGCGTAACTTCGAAATGTGGATGGCGCCTGAGGACCGTGAGGAACATCTCCTCATTACCCCGCGCCGTGAGTGGGAGTATATCCACATTAAATTGAAATTCCGGTTGATAATCCAGGAGTGCTTCCATAACATCGCTTGCCAACCCACAAGCCGCAACCTCAAAAATAGAAGGATCGGGATCGATATCACCCTGAGATAATAAACATTTAAGAATATCTGCTCCGGATGACATATTTTCTGATAAGACCCTGATTATGTTCAGATCAACAGGAATCTTCCACCCACGGTTGATGAGCATGCTTAAAATGGATTTGCCACACAAGTGGTTGGACGCACTTGATAGTATGAACCCTTCATATATTTCCTCTATTGGAACGCTGGGTATGAATTGAGCACCAGCTCCGCCATGTCGGCACCACAGTGAGGATTTTGGGCTGCTAGCTTCAACATGTCGCCGCAGCAATCAGCGCTGTAATTCTGGAAGCCGCCCAGAATTTCGACAATCTCTGGGTCACTGCTCCTGACACATTTCTTCAAAAACTGGCAACAGAGGGCCTTCAGTTGAAGTTTCTGCCCCGTTTTTCAGCAACAATGTGACAGCTTCTTTCTTCCTGTTTGTAAACAGCATACCACAAGGGACCCCTTTGATTATGGTCGGTAATATTCACATCTACTTCCTCTTCGATGAGTTGAGTTGCTGTAAGAAGAAGTCCAAACCATGCACAGATGTGAAGTCCTGAGATATCCTGGGACATCTGTGGCTCAATTGATCCATGAACATACCACCAGTGGTCCGGAGACTGAAGCAGTGCCTGGGCAGAACACGCGACATTAGATGTCTTGCGTAGAAAGGCTAAAATATTTGCACTTAGAGTCCTCTGAACTTCTCCTGGGAAGCATGAAATCCCCAATTTTTGTGCAGCGTACTCTAAAAACGGGAAGGACGCTACTCTCAAATTGTAGCTTTCATAAGAATTGACATGAATCCGTTAGATTACTGTCAGAAAGATATGCGAGGCATCTCTCGGTAATCATTGCGCTTGCATCAGGGAAATGCGTTTCTTTTGTACGATCAAAATACTCCTTGGCGGTGTCTTCTAATCGTCAGCATATAACATAGGCAACTGCAGAGAGATAAACTTACGGTGGACCAGCATGACCTTTTGATCCTCGGGGTCAATCTCAAGAAGTCCACTACATGAATCAATAGCTTCTCTCAAGTCTGAAATATTGTCTGTGTCGAAGGATGACTCGTTGACTTCAATTGCTAGTGCGTGCTCTAGCTCTGAGACTGTGAGTTCCCTAGAAGCATGGGTTACGAAAGATAGTAATATGATCGAATCGGTCAGCATTCCGCTGGATTGAGCCTTCAGGCGTTTCATTGTATCATTGTATCCATCATCCAACGAATAGCCACCGCTTGCTATAGACTCTAAAGCCTGATTAAGCTTTTTGCGGTTCGAAACCTTCGAAATAGCACATATACTGAGTTTTGCCAAAAGGAACCTGATTGAATTGATAAGCTTCCATGCCCAGTCTGTAGTTTCCCGCAAGAGGTGGCATTAAACTCACATGCCGTCGGCAGCCTGCGCTAGTGTGCCCTTAATTTTTTGGTGGGTTTCAAGCGGCGACTTGGCAACAAAACAGCCAGGTGGTAACGCTCTCAGACTTTCGTCCATCCACAGGTTAAGGTCTTCTTTAGTTGCTCGAGTATCAAGCTGCGTGGCCGATGCGATATACTGCAAAATTCGATACGGATCCCGAGACGTTACCATCAACTTTATTGCAAAGCTGGTTTGCAACTCACTGAGAATCTTCAGTAACTTATCCTGAGTCTCTTCGTCAAGTTCATTGAGTGCATCGATAACAATAAAAGTCTTTGAGAATCTTCCAGCTTCCAATTGAAGCAGGCGACATAGCTGAGAGTAAGTAGGATAGTTTTTAGAGGAGTGCAGCTCCTCTAACGTCTCTGGCAGTTTGATACCCTTCACTGAAAGAAGCTGTTTCAGCAGACTCGCAAGTAAGTTTTGGGCGTTAAATTTATCAGCGTGAGCCCAGTTTCCAAATACATATGCTACTGCACTTCTCTCTGGCCTGATTGCAGTGAGTCTTGTGAGATACTCGATGGCCGTGCTCGCCAGCATTGTCTTGCCCATGCCGCCGCCGCCCTTCAGAATTATCGAGTCTTGTTTTCCATCTAGCCACAGCCTGAACGGCTCGGACTCTATTAGCCATCGTCCAGTGTTTTTGGCCCTTTTAGCTGTAAGTGCTGCTTGTTGTTGAGAAAAGTCAATGCGCCGCGATGGAGATAGCCACTCGAGAACATCATGCTTTTTTTG